TTGTAATTGTATGTTAAAATGAGTTTTAATTAGTTCTTCTGAATCATTGTTTTGCTCAGAGCTTGCTGTGTTTTTCAGGAGTTTTTCATGGCAGTATCTAATGATGCCAAAGCCTTTCCTGCCCTCAGGGATCAACTAACAGAACTGGAAAGAATTGTAAAACGCAAGTAAGTCAGAGCTTTGTTTTTTTGTTTTTAGGTTTTGATATGGATGAAAGGTGCTGTATGTGGTTAGTGTTAAGAATTTAAAGGAGAAATGCTCTTTAGATAACGATCAAACTTAGCTAAAGAGTCATTAACTGTTTTTTAAAATATTTTTATTTTATTCTTCAGTGCTGAAGATGCCAGATCCTCACAGAAAAAGGTATAAGACCGACTCTTTTGGTTCCAAATTAAAGTTTGTGTTTTTTCAAACGTCTGTGAACCTAAACTGTGAACCTAAAATTCCCACACAGCACAAAGTCCTGCTGCGGCATTTCAGTGTGGGAGAGGAGAAGCTTCAGAAACGTCAGCCCATCAGGAGTAACGATGAAAGTGAGTTGTGGATGAACATCCACTCTCCGGTTTCATAAACATGGATAGCTGGGCTGCTGACTGTCACATTCAGCTATCTATTTGGAACTCTTTATCATGCAGTGATAGCGATAGTCAGTATTTTGAAATAGCGACAGAGGTTCGCTACTCATAAACTCAAAGGATGTTTTCTGTTAAAGCATGATGATTTGGTACTGCTTGTTCTTCAAGTCATCTCTCCAATCTCCAAAAGACACACTGAAAATTGTTGTTCTTGGTTTGGTTTTTGTTCTTTGTACTGATTTAAATAATTTGTTTAGGGGCAGTTCAGTGGTGCAGTGATTAGCGCTGTCACCTCGCTCAGCTGGAGCCTTTCTGTGCAGAATATGCATGTGTGGGTGCTCCAGTTTCCTCCCACAGTCCAAAGAGATGCTTGTTAGGTTAATTGGTGACTTTAAATTAGTTGTGAGGATGAGGATGCGAGAGGTTGTGGGTGTCTCTCTCTCTATCTCTGTGGTAGCTGTGCTAATTTGGATAAATGTTTTGGTCTCTTTAAGGCCATTTAGTGTCTTATAGTGACATCTTGCCTTTTTCTCTTCCTTGCTACTTTACCATGCCATCATTCCTTCTTGTTTACAGTCTTATTTTTGTTCTAATTCATTCCTTCAGTCCTGTTCAAAGTCTACTGCTGTGACCACACCTACACCACAATCCGGGTCCCTGTAGCCGCTTCAGTCAGGGAGGTTATCGGTGCTGTGGCTGACAAGCTGGGGTCAGCGGAGGACCTGCTCCTGGTCGGCCTCAGTTCGGCAGGAGGTGAGAGCAACGGCAGTTACTTGTCAAATGATTGGAGATGACAGAAGGTAGAGCTAAAGCCGGGTGATGTATTAAGTCTTTCTGGGTGATGTGTGACCTTTTGCGGTGAGTTTGGTGACGGTAATAGGCTGCTTTATTAGGGGCTAAAGAATGGCCTTGAAGTGGCCCAAGAAATAACCTGAGCTCAGTTTTCCTCATTACATTCAGCAGAAAGCTGTTGGTTCAAGTGGCTGCTCTTTATTGTACTGATATTTGTGTCCGCCAGAAAGTACTAATGCAGCTCTGCCTTCCTCTGAACTTGACCTGGACTTTCCTTACCAGTGGCAAGTCAACAAAGCTGAGGCTGCTCTTATTTGGAGTGGATTATCACAAGGCTCATAAAGAGCATCCAGAAAGTTTTTCTGGATCCTAAAATCGATATATTTATTTTTATAGTCACAAATGTACACATAGTTATCCGCAATGAAAAAGCAAAGCAGGTTTTGAAGTTATTCTCCGGTGCCTGTGCAACTGTGTTGGATCCACTGATAAAAAAGAAAAGATACAAAAGGACAACTGCGTTAGAAGGAAAAAATAAAACTATGAGGTAGAGAGAGAGATGTCATCAAGGAACAGATCAAGCAAAGGACACAAGAAAATTATGCTGCATTGAAAGTACCCATGAGTGCAACATCCTCTATTATTCCTAAATGCTGGATTTAAAAATAATAATTCCCAACAATGTGTGGATGAAACTAGGCATCATGTCATTAATACCATCTCTGCAGTCAGAAACAGTGCTGTGGGGTTGTTTTCCTGCAGGGCATTGAGACTGGTCGGTATCAAGTAAACTTTTTTCCAGGCTACTCAGGATCTCAGGCTGGTAAAAGAACAATACCAAAGAAAAGCTCCCTTGGTCTCATTTATAAACTGTGCCTGCTAAAAAATTCTCTTCCCCACGCATAAAATTATATCTATAAAGGATGAATTTTGGAATAAATCAGACTTTTTTTGAAAGTGAGCCAAGCCATATGTGAAATGGAGATTTTAAAAAGCATGACGGGACTTATCATAAAAGAAAGCAGACTATTCTTAGCAAACCTAGCTATATTAAAATGAACTATTTATTATTCACAAACCTCAAATTTACTATCTAATTGTATCAGTCCTTTCATTAATGTTAATAATATTTGTAGCCAGTGTTGGTGCTAAAATCACTGGAGCTTTGCATAATGATCTGCTTTTTTCTGTGAACCGATGTGCTTTTGTGCTTCTTTTTGTTTGTAGTCTGACTGTTTATTTTTACCTCTGCCAGAGTCCTTTGGTATGAACTTCACAGCTCAACCTGCATTACTTTTTTATTCTTCAGTAGCCTTTCTTCTCTTTGTTAGGTACTGACACCAAAGACACCTTTTTTGTTTTGTTTTCTCCGTGTCTCTGGTTAGGCAAAATGCACATCTTCCCCTGTTTAGTAAATGGATGAAGATGAGAAAAAAAAATAAGAGGTACATGTGGTCAATTTTAGGTTGACACTTATAGAAGTTTTTGTGTTAGAGTAGCTTCATAAATCTAATGAAAAGAATGTGTATGCACTTTTCGTCCTTTTTGCATACACAAAGTTGGTAGTCATGAGTTTGAATGATTATTGTGCGTCTGATCTGTAAACTTAAACCCAACAGTGCATCTGGTGAGACCTGAAAGCAGCACTAATGATCTACAATCAGGCTGGTTGAGTTTGAATATTTCTGCCAAGAAAAATCTGGGCATGACTTTCAAAGAAAGACAGCCAGGTTTATGGGATCAGGTCTGTTAAGTTTGTAGGAACAAGTCTGCAGGCTATTGCTGCTGCTAGAGTGTTTAAAGGTGTTTTAACCAAGTAAGCTAGCAAATATGATGTTAGTCTTTTATTGGTAATGCATTTGGATAACACTTCATGAAATATTGTGTCTAGATATATATAAATAAATAAGCACAATTTATCTGAATTTCAGGACCAGGAGCACACCTCATACATACACCTTCCGGTTCTTTCTCTATTTGTAATATAGAGAGGGCCGGTACTACAAGCTGTTCTCATTTCCATGCTTCCCTTTTTCAGTTCATTCACCTCTCATAAGAACATGCTTACAGTTCTGTCTGAGGACTTCCCCAAACTGCAGCCTGAATTCATGCTCATGCCATCTGTTCCAAAAGTTTCGAAGCATGACTTCAATTCAAATTAGTGCCAATTTGCAACAATAGTTATACTGTAAGGTAAAGCCTCTAGAATATTAGAAAGAAGACCGCTACTATGAACAAGCCTTTGGCAACAGGGGGAAAGAAAAATGTCCTTTTAACAGCAAGAGACCTCTAGCAGATGCAGCCTCAGGGAGGGGCAGCCATTTATTATGACCAGATGAAGGTGAGAGGAAAAGGAGGAGAGTAGAGGGATTCAGGACGAATGCACACTAGAAGACAGCCATAAATTAATAATTACTCATTTTGGCTTGAACCTCTAAATGAAATTGTGGTCTATAAACATGTGCAGAGTAGTGCATGAAAAAGAAATCCTCAGTGCATCATCCAAAGTCAACAGCAGTCTAACCCTATTGCACTATAACTAAAGGATGGTCAAGGGTCCAAATGTATGCAGTGTTTTCTATCAAATACACTACAGCAAAACTAAAGCTTTAATCACCTGGATATATATATATTTTTAAAAAAAGCATATGCAGACAAAGACAGGTTATTCTGGTTGTTTGATACTACACACAGCAGTAAATATCTAATGTCAGCATGGTAACATGTTTGCAAAGAAAATACTATTTGATTTCTGAAGTTTATACATGCCAATTAATTCTGATGGTATTAATTCTTTCATTATTTGGACAAATGTTTAAAAAAGAATTGGAGGAAATGTTTTGGGATCACATAAGGTGTGATCCTCATGCTAAAAATAGAAAAAAGTAACAACTAAATAGGGCACTGAGCACCTGCATGCCTATTCTAAAATCTTTTGGCAAGCCATCTAATGGTTATTATTTTTCAGTCTGAGTGAAAACGGTAGACAAATGGATGTTTTCCATTCATGTTTTTAACTTTTGTGTGTTGTGGTCTTCCTTTTGCAGAGAAAACCATCTTTAAGCCCAGTGATATGTCGGTGTTCTCCACACTCAGCATTAATGGACGGCTGTTTGTGTGTCGGAGGGACCAGTTGGATTCTTTGGTGTGTTACAAATTACATTTACATGAGAAACTCGCATATTAACATGTAGATCAGCTGCAGCTCCGACCCCAGCTGTACACTATATCAATATCACCCAACACGTCATGTGTATGAACTCATCTACACTCCCAACCAGTTGGCTTTAAACACTCCATCAAATTGATAGAAATGACAGTTAGTTACCTAATTCAGCTTTCAGTCTCTGTTTTATAAATGTAATGTGTTTTTCATGCTTTGGAGACCACTTTACCTGAGCAGGAGGGTCCCTCTACAGGATCACTGGCCAGCTTTGAGTTAATGAGCTCTAAGGACGTGGCTTACCACATGACTTCCTATGACTGGGAACTTTTCCACTGTGTACATGAGGTATTCAACAGCAACTGAGTCTGATTAGAAGAGCTGAATATATATCTTCTTTTATTTATTGGTATGAAATATTCAGTTACTTCACTTGCTTATTTTACATGAAAATCAGTTGTTTTTCTTCTGCATCTTGCAGCTTGAACTCATCTATCACACATTTGGGAGACAATATGTGAAGAAAACCACCGTGAACCTGGACCTGTTCCTGAGGAGGTTCAATGAAATTCAGTTTTGGGTGATCACTGAGATGTGTTTGTGTCCTCAGCTGAGCAAGCGAGTACAGCTTCTTAAGAAGTTTATCAAGATCGCTGCCCAGTATGTGGATTTCATGTTCTAGTTCAGTTTGTAGTTTGGTTTATTTGCCACACTAATTTCATGTTTCCTGTTAAAGCTGCAAGGAGTACAGAAATCTGAATGCCTTCTTTGCTATCATTATGGGCCTAAGTAACCCGGCTGTTTGCAGACTGAGTCAGACATGGGAGGTGTGTATTTGTGCATTGTCCATCTTTGGAAAACTATTAATTACTTAACTGCAAGGAAACTTTTGTCTGGTGTTTTTGTTCGCAGAAACTTCCCAGTAAATTCAAGAAGTTTTATGTGGAATTTGAAAACTTGATGGTAAGCTCCAAAGTAAAAAATTTAAGATGAGCCACCTGATCAGAGTAAACTATGAGGTTAGTGTCCAGACTGTGATTGATCCACAGCATGACTGTCTCCACAGGATCCGTCCAGGAACCACAGGGCGTACCGGCTAACAGTAGCCAAACTGGAACCTCCCATCATTCCTTTCATGCCCCTGTTGATCAAAGGTTAGGCCAATTTATTGGATGACAGTTTATCATTTTGGCCGGTAGACCACAATTGTTTCGCTGCTGAATTGCTTCAACAGCTTTAACACTTTCCAATTGGTCCTTTTTTTTCTAGACATGACATTTACTCATGAGGGCAACAAAACATTTATCGACAGTTTGGTCAATTTTGAGAAAATGGTGAGGCTCTGCTGCGCATCTGTGAATCTTTTTTTTTTTTTGTTCTTCTCAGCTAATTGGCGATATTTGCTGCTGATCATTGCTCTTTGTCTTGCAGCGGATGATAGCTAACACAGTGAAAATAGTGAGATACTGTAGAAGCCAGAGATTCAGTAAGTTTCAAATGTTTTCTTTTTTTTTTTTTGTACTAATTTCACATATGTCGCACTTAATACAACAAAAGGACACTTTATAAAATTAAACATAAAAATAAATAAACAAAATATATCTTGGAAGCACAATATCAAAAATCTGTATGATGAAGAAACAACAATAAAAGACTTTATGTCCTGTTAATTTGATGTCTTTTAGATACATCTTAGAATAAACCTGCAAGCTGGAATAGAACTAACAGAAGAAGCCGTTCTTCTAGAAAGCACATTGGGAGAAATTCTGACAACGACTAGCTTCCCATAATTTTAATTTCTTATTTCCAAAATAAAAAATAAAGTAATATTCTCACAATAGGTCGAGAAAAGTACCTGTTTTGACTGACTGACAGCAAGCTGTAATATTGATCTTTTGAAGTTTAGTTGTAGTATATTATTGGTATCTCTGAACCTTTAACATCTATATTCAATCATTTATCCAGCAGTTTCCCATTAATCCCTTTATATTGATTGCCCGTACAGCTTAGATATACTCAATCAGCACAAATATTTTATTAAAAAGCACAAATATTTTGGGTTCCTATATGATGAACTTACAAATTCTTCTTGCATTGTTTTCCTGACACTGCCCATCTTTTCAATTAAATCAGGTCCAGAGTCACCACTGCCAAGCAAGAACCACCCTGACGTTTGGACTTATATTCGTCAGCTTAACGTGATCGATAACCAAAGGATGCTTACTCAGCTCTCTCATGGACTTGAGCCCCGCAGGTCTTGAAATCCACTCAGGGACAGAAACATTACACGAAGACGCTACTCCATGACGTGATGTGCGCTCGCTTGGGATGAGTTTACTTAGTACAGGATTGAGGACCTGATGTTGTATCAGATAATGAGATGTTGTTTCAGAAGCCTGCCTTGTTAAGCTTTTTCTTACAGTAATTAGTGATATTTTAGCAGTAGTTGTTGGCGGGTGACGTACCTCCTCGTATCATTGTCGTACAGATATAACAACAAACAGCATGAAGAAATGAATGATGTTTGGAGGGATCTCATTCATCAAACTGTGTAAGATTTTAGATGTAAACGCTATATGATGCTGACGCTTACAGGTCTCAGTATTCCTGATATTCAGCTGTTTCGTATATTTTGTATCAGACAATATTTATATATATTTAAGTTTTTAAGACTCTTGTGTTGTAAATTGTATACAGATATTTATTTTGACAAGCATGCAGAGGATGATGATTGTTTTACGTTTTTATTCATGTGAGCACATTTCTCTTTAAAGCCTGAGATATCATAAGTGTCTGAAAACCTTTTTGTGCGCTCTAAATAATAAAAAACCTTTAGATGTATTTGTTCAACTTTATATTTATTATCTAATATAAAGACAGCTTGGTCAGTATAGTGTCAGTGTATAAGATGGAAATCAACCAAGACAACTCATGAAACGTTTTCTTACATCTTATTGAATTAGAGCAGCAGAGGAGCAGCAGAACAGGTCAGCTGATCACAGTCTGTACATTATGAAAATCTACTGGAGCACAGAATAGAAATGACTGTGAGCTGTTCAAATCATTGTCGATATCTACGGAGGAGGTCAGGAGAGTGAGTGAGTGTCTGCAGCCATTTGTAAAACATGGTGGAAGCGCTGCAATAATTTGGAGCTTCATTTCAGCCAGTGGTGTTGGACCTCTTGTCAGAAATAATGGAAATATGAACACAAATGTACCATCAGATTTTGATCCACCATGCAATACCATCTGGACACCTCTGACTGGCTTCCTTTTTCAGCATGACAATCATCCCAAAAGGCCTATGCAGTAAAAAAAAAACCAAAAAAAAAACAAAATCCAAAAGAGACATGGATAACAAAACAATGGAGTATTATCACTCATGGACTGGCCTCCCCAGACCCCGAACCTTAACATCACTGAAGCAACATGGGATCTTAACAGACAACAGAACAAAAGTCAGCCAACATCCAAAGACGAGCTTTGAATGGCCATCAAGACATGTCCATATTCCCGAAGACTACCTAAAGAAATTACAAGATGTTTACCTAAGAGAGTTCAGGCTGTGTTGAAGAATAAAGGTGGTCATACCAGATATTGACTTTCAAGCTAATTTGAATGGTATAAAGAAATAAAACAAAAATATAAAGAAATGGCAGACTGACAGACTGCTTTCTATCTTGTAAATCAGGTTCTGCTTTAAGAAATAGTCATTTATTAGTGCTGCTAAACTTCTAGTGTATATTTGTTTAGTTAAGAGTTGGTTTAAATAACTTTTTTCTGAAAGCTTAAGCTGAAAATATTTGGGGCAGCAAGAAGGAATTAAATGTAAATTAATTCTTATCTCAGGTTTAGCTTTGAGTGATTTGGCGTGTCTGATCAAACATTAATCATCATCACTTCCATTTATTTCTAGAAGTGCATTAAACATTTTTATTGTTGACTTATACTGTTGACCTGTGAATTGTGTCAACAGTGAAGCAGATGGTTGCTTTATATTTTCCATTCGCCACTACATGAGGAAAGAATGAGTCATTGACAGCTTTTAAGTTTGCAGAAATGTATTACCTAGATTTAATATGCGATGAATAGAGAATCAGTGAATCTGATATCTCACAGTGTTTCTGACGTCACAGTGGAGACTGGAGAAGTACTCATATTCTTCCTCCTGGAGCAGGGGTGTCGAACTCCAGGCCTTGGGGGCTGGTGTCCTGCATGTTTTAGATCTCACCCTGGGTTAACACACCTGAATCAAATGATTAGTTCATTTTCAGGCCTCTGGAGAACTTCAAGACATGTTGAGGAGGTCATTTAGCCATTTAAATCAGCTGTGTTGGATCAAGGACACATCTAAAACCTGCAGGACACCGGCCCTCGAGGCCTGGAGTTTGACACCCCTGTCCTAAAGCATGTTGTAAATGTACAGTTACATTTATAAGCTGTATTATTGTTATTAGTGAGGAAGCTCTGATGCTGCTCTGATGTAGCTGGCCAAAGGTTTCCTGATGGTAAACACTTATAGACAGTTGGGGTACATGTGTACGCAACAAATCACAACCTTGAACTCATCGGATATTTTGTTTATAAAGTCTCGATGTGGAGCAACATTAGTTCTTGTGGAGTCAAAAGTAAATTGAAGTGAATGAAAAATTGTTTTATATAAATTATACTTTATTCTTAAATGCTTTATTAAGATGAAAAATACTTTTGAAGGGTTTTTGAGTGATATATTTCTGTATTAGTTCATATAGATAGTACAGTACATTTGAATGATTCCTTTGCTTTACGTGGTCTTATTGATTAAGAAATCCACATTGTCATGAGTTTATATGGATTAAATGAGTGGTTGGTGATCTTATTGATTTCCCACCAAGCTTCCTGAGTTGCTGAAATGATGATGGTCTTACAGCAATTATGTTTTTTGATTGATTGGGACATGAGTATAGGTCTTTAATAGAGAGAAATGCACAGAATGACTTTTCGATTTTAAGTCAAGGATCTTGTTGCATATCTGAATATATCAATTTTATTACGTCGTGTCATCACCCAAAAAAAAAAAAAAAAAAGCAATCTAACAATCCAATGAAAAGATTTAACACTGCAGACTGATCTAAGCTTTTGCACATATACAAATACATCTGAAAACATCTGTGATGAACAACTGCATAGTGCAGTTAATCCAAGATAACATTATGCATAGATACATATTAACAATTGTAGAATGTACCTCGTGGGCTTCACGGATACAAATGTTCCCAAATTTCTAGTAAATTTCCACTTTCCAGATTTCTGAGTCACAGCTTTGCACTGCGCTCACCTTTTTTGCCTTCTATCAGTCATCTTCACCTATAATAACAACCTAACCAAAGGGACAACCCCATTAAAAAAGGCCCCACCCAGGCTGACCAGGAGGTTTCATTTCAGAACCTGGTTGCTGTGAGAAGTCACACACCTCATCAACCCTTAACTTTCTTGACAGTGGCAATGCAGAAGTCTTTGGGTGTAACCTGGGTTTAATTGCTAATTGTGTATACCTGAAAAGGTGTTGACAAAGACATTTCTTAGACTTGATTTGGACTGTCAATGCCTTTTAGAGCATTTAGAGTGGTCTCATCCAGATAATGTCTTTTTCAGGGAAACCCTTCCATATTTCAGTGAGACAATGCTAAACTACACACTTTTATTACAACAGCATGGCTTCATTTTAGAAGAATGTGGTTGCTGAACTGGCCTACAAGACCTTTCTACAACTCTAAACATTTGGCAAAGAAGACCCAGAGCAATTAAGCAGCTAGAATCTTATATAAGGCAAGAAAGGGACATTCCTCTCGCAGAAGTCCAGCTGATCGCTCTTTTCAGATGTTCATAGGCTTTTGTCCTGATGCATGCTCAATCATCCAGGTAAGTAAATCCCAAAAGGTTGATTCTGTTCATCTGGACGTAGTGTTTTCAATGGGAGAAAGGTTTCGTCACTCATCTAAGTTCATAGGCTATTGTTATACAAAGAGGACATACTGTGCATTATTAAGCACGACCCTGTCCAAACCTTTTTGAAATGTGTTGCTGCCTAGAAATGGCCTTACTTTTTCCTGAAAATTGTAATTTTCTCATTAGAAACATGTATGATTATATGATTTCTATTATTCTATTGTGTATAAAATATCAGTTTCTGAAACTGCAAATCATCACATTATTTTTTATTTACATTTTACACATTTAAAAAAGAAATTGCGGTTTTAAAAGACATTTTAAAACATTTTTACAGAATCAAATTAATTAAAACTATTTTGTTTTTAGTGTACCACTGAGCTGCCCAGTAAGAGCTAAGAGAAATAACTGTAATATCCATCACCACGCACAATGTAGGCGTTCGTGCTCGTGTCCAGCAGGGGGAGCTGTTGCCATCAGTATCAAAAGCTGGATGCTGTCCAGTTCAGCTGGCTGAAAGTTGTGCAACCAGTGAAACCACACTGGATCGGGGAAATCAAGCGACGTCACGTGAGATTTCCCGGAACTATCCTTTCTTTCGCAAAGTTTGTCTTGTGCCCGGTGCTACCTGCGTGGAGGAACAGCCGCTCCGGAGCGCCAGCCTTCACACTGAATGTCGGTATGTGTGTTTTGATAATGTTCACCAGTTATCCAATTAGTCTCAATGAGCAGTTTCGACATAGGCTCACTGTCCAGCAGATTAAATATAATGCGAGTCTTGTTTGATATTAAACACACATTCGTGCAGATGTGTTGATGCGGGCTGTTGAGTGTGACGTGGTGCATTAATATAAGACTGTTATAAACATGTAATAATAACAAAGTAATACCGCTTTAAGTTTAATGTTGCTCATACTGTATCTAGTTGTTGTTGAATGTTTTGACCGGTGATTTAACCCTCACACAAGTATTATCTGCATCTCATACACAGCATAGTAACTGAGTAGGGGTTAGATTGGTTAAGATTGTAACATCTGCATATAACCACACTTTTAGCTGTGAAGATGTGACACAAAAGCTGACCTCGCTGTCTCAGTGATTAATTCATCATTTAGTTGAGATTACAGTGACTACCTGTGGTTTGACATATGGCTGTCAGGCCTTATTGTTGCGGCGCTTGCAGTCGTGTTTGCTATTAAGTGAGAAACTGCCAGCGATGACTGCAGGAGTACTCCCGTATCCCTGTAACCCTGGCTTCTTGAGTGGTCAGACAATACTTGGGGGGCTGGTCCACTGAGCAAATTGCTGCCAGGCTAAGTATAGCATGAATACAAGTAAATCAGCAGAGAGCAATGGCTCCCCTCTGTGACAATGGTGGCATTTCCCGTTGTGATGGATAGTAATCCCAATGAGGACCCAGGTAACAGCCTTTTAAAAGCCGTAATTGCTCAGCTGTAAATGGGAAACCTATGAACAATAGCAATGCTATAATTTCCTGTAATGATGGAATTATTTCTTTACAAGATGCTTTTATGTCGCTACAGACAAACAAAAGGATATGATAATAAATCTGTGTGGTGTCCGGTTTGGAAGCATTATACCACTAACCCTGGCTTACACACACATCATCATGTTTGGCCTCAACACAAGCAAGAAGAGCTCATCTTTTCTGTTAAATAGAGAAAGAGAATATGTGGATCTCTCAAGGTGTTTTTGTCTTGAAACAAAAGAAGCTTTTATTGTCAAAATTGTATGATCTCCCAGCTTGTTGTCCTACTTGAACCAAACCTGCTGGAGTAATCTGCGACTTTAGCTGCATGATCCCAGCATACCAGACATGCCTTTGTCCTTATACAAGCAGAGTCTGGACCCTGAGTCCATTGCTTACTGGTACTGA